AAATCCACTATTTATATATTGAATTGGCAAATAAGTCCTTTCGATTTTTCTGTTTTATTTTTTTTGTCACTATGATACACTTCTTATCTGATGAATTAAACCTTACGGTGGATTGTCTGTCCTGTTTGTAATGTTTCAACAACCATCCCTGTTAACTCTTGTTGAAACTAGCTTAGTATTGCGTTTGATATTGCACTGCGAATATGAACGAATTCTTTATCATTCATTATCGTTATATTTTGTTGTATTATTTTAAAAAAGGAAAGCGTCCTGCAGAAGCTCATAGAAAAATACTCAATTTCTTGCAGAACTCAAACTAATGGAGGTTTTGGTTTCAGTAATTTTAAGGAAGTAACGTTTCTAGGTCAACGGTTGTGCAAGGAGGAATTTGGACCGAGATTTCGCTCAACTGCTAGGTTATCGCCTTTAATTAATTATTTAATTGAGAATATGCACTTTATAGAGCGCGCTATAAAAGAGTCCACCGGTACAGAATAAATAATTACCTCTCTCAACCGGACTGGAACCCGGGATTCAAAGCATAAGATTACAGTACCTTATTAACTGAGCTTCCTTGTTCCAGTATATAATCAATACATACTTTTAATTATTACTTGTTTTAATTTTAGATTAATCGCAATATTTTTACGTCCAAACACTTTTCTTCTAACCCCGTCTAAAGTAAATACGCACTTATTTTTATTTCACCAATTGAGTCGCTTATTTACCATCCTATGGCGTGACTATATTCCAGATGAAGGCGAAGGGAGAGGGAAGAATTGAGAGAGAAGGTGAGTTAATTGAATCAACAAAATAAATTAATGTAATGTACTCTTATCATCAATGGAAATAAGAAACACGCAACGGAATAAAATATTTTTAATGGCTAAGTTTCGTTTACGAAGAAAGTATTTTCTTCTTAAGTGGATTTTATTTTTGTTATTTTATAAAATATTCAGATCTCAAACGTTTTTATAACTTTTACTTTTCTGCAGTATTCATCAGTTTTCTTATTTAAATTTCCGCAGCACTTTAGTCGATAATGAATTTTTTACTCGTCTAAATATATTTCGTTTATGAAATCTACATTACTTTAAATTTGAATTGTTTGTTTTCGGCGGTTTTCGAACATTGTTCAACATTCCGAGCCTTAGGTCAGAACTTTTAACGACTTGTAGAAGCGCAGTTTTGTTGTTCGGGAAAGGAGTTTGTTTGCATTCCAGGTGTCTCTGAATTCCTAAATAACCCTTAATGGGCGTCATTATTCTTCTGCCTATCTTAGATTGCATGTCATTTTTTTAGTTAAACAAAATACCCAGGCAAACTGTCTTATCTGAATGCTTGTATATGTCCTTGTTTCACCTCAGTGAGACAAAGCCGTGCTCTAGCTTTTTTAAGATCTATAGAGGCATCCCTTAAATGTAAATGATCTACGTATGATGTCTAGATCATGAGAAAACTATGGAATATTTTTGTCTCATTATATTTCTCTCTGTCATTTTTACTTGATGTATTTTTAATTTAATATTGTCACTAATTAATTAAAACAATAAGAAATTACAATTTTAAGTTGGGAAAATAAATTGATTGTGACCATATTTTCATACTTGTCAAAACATGTATAGCACAAGTATTTGCATTTTCTTTCTTGGGTACTAAACTACAAAAAAAATTTATTGTATTTTGTATTTAAAATATATAAAATAAACTGAATAGAATAGGTCCCCCTTGAAGGAAGAAATATCGTATTAACGAAAATTCTATCGGTTATATTCCAGCTTAGAAAAGGTCGAATTGGTTTTGTAGAAGTGTAATATCTATTGTTTTCTAATATTATAAACCCTTTCTCCCTAAAATAAACCTGCTTCTTAAGGAATTGTTTGTAAACCGCCAGTCCATGAGACGGAAATATTTTGTATTTGTATTTTTTTGTTTTGTTTGTAATTAAAATACAAAACAATTTTGTACATTTATTTTTGGAATACTTTTTCTGAAAAATACTTTAATACCTTGTAATTAAAATACACCGGATCTTAAAAACTGAAAACACCTGGTGTTTTATATACATTATATATAAATATACTTTTTGCCCAGGTGTGATCTCATGAAAGTATTCATTCTTGCCTAAATTGAAGTCAGGAGAATGATATGCATAATAGCAACATTCTTAACTTAACGTATTCTTGAAGAAGTTTTTTATGAAGTAAGAGTGGCTTTGAAGAAATAATAATTATCCAGACTTCACTGGACTTATATTTTCTTAATATCTGTCATTTATTATTTACTTCAATATAAAATCAACCAACGTTTCAAGAAGATTTATAGCACTTGTACTATTGCACAGTAAATATGTAAATTATCAATATGGTTAAGTTACCAACTTTGTAAGTCCGACTTAGGGAGCCTCGCCCCCCAACAAACTAAGCAAACACACTTGCATATTAATTAGGCAAACAGAGGAGGGATACGGATAGGAGCCGGTCCCCGACTAAAGCGGAAAGTAAACTCTGCGACTTGTCAGGTGGAAGAGGAAGGTTGGTTCTTATCAGTGGAGAGGGGGTGAAGAGAGGGGGGCGAGTTAACATAAGTTTTAAGTTTCAAAACTTTCTGAGGCAATTGTCAGGTTTTGTTTTGATTTTTTTCAGTCATAATTTATTTTGAAGTATTCAATTAATTTGTATTATATGTAATATGTTGTATTTGTAATACAACAACTTTTTCCTATGATCCTTGTTCCAGGTTGAGGTAAGTAAATATTTATTACATCGGCTGTGGATGGATCCCGGCAGCCTTTTCTGGGACTCGCTCTTAACTAAATAATTAATTAAGGGAGAATAACCTAAGCGTAATTTAAATAACCATCAAACTATCCTATCGTCTTTAAATCCTCTGTTAAAAACTTAGGTATGAATTGACCACTATTAGTCCAGGATTCCGCATATTTTCCGACAAGTAACAGGCCACCCAAGTTATTCCATTGCTTTTAAGTTATTTTCTCCCACAATCTAAACGTAAACGCCTTTTATCTCCTCACTCATTTTCCTATACTTTGTAGGGTGGTATGTGGTGGCATCTTGACTGCACTAGAGAGCAGAATTACATTTGTACGTCCAGGAGGTCTTATGAATTTCATCTTCATGGTGAATTATAGTGACATTTCCCCTTCTTCTGTCGACAATACTCTCTCGAATCTTTCCTATTCTAAACTTCCAGCGCTCTTCCTACATATATAGTGTCATGCGATTCAAAACCTTCGGGAAAAACGATCTCGTGTTTCTAACCTTTATACTACTTCTGACTAATATAACTAAGATCTTTGCTCGCTCAACCGCCTTCCGGCGGAAATTCCCCGATTTCTGATATCCGCAACTTTTTTCATTACCTTCTCACATCCTAAAAATACGCTCTCTAATCTTGAAATCTGATGTCAAGAATAAAATGCCAATTTGAAGTAAATGATCGTTTTAATATTTATTTTTCATAGTTTTATTTTTTGTTTTTTTATCTCGTATGTTGCGATTTTAAGGCTTAAAAAATCAGAGTCATCAACTGTGTAGGATTAAGTTTGTTTATTTCTGAAGTAAATTTTCAAGCGATTTTTACTTTGTTCAAACAAATCGTTTTATTTCAAGATGCCTACCAGAAACTTTATTCTGTCTTCGTCATTTCTCAAAATGTTATTTATTGGTTGAGGTGTAACTTCTGATCTAGTTAGATCCAGTAAGTAAAAAGGACACTTCTGTAAAATGTGGCTGACTGTGTTTTATTGTAGAGTTGGTATTGTGGTGGTTATTTGCTAATGACATGTAAATGGGTAAGATTGGTGTGGCATATTCTCAGTCTGGTCAAGACAACCTCTTCTCTGCGGATATAACGATTTGATGTTGACCATGGCTTTATTGTTGTTGTTTTTTTTAATATCTTTCAAATTTCTCGGCGGACTCTAATTCCACACAGATTGCTAGGCCTGGAAGGGTATGCTATCTCCTACTTTTTTCTATACTACCGTATTGTATATAGTGTAAATGGCGAGTGAACCGTTTCCTAATTTGAAGAAGTTACTTTTAACTACTTTTTTAACAAGGAATATTTGTTATTATTAATTCCATGACCAACCAAGTATTATAATATCCCAAATATTGTTGTTTCAATAAAAATGTGACTATAAAAATAAGTATTAATTATAGATAAATAGATAGATAGATAGAAAGTTAACTTTCTTCTGGGACGACGTCCCTTATGAATAACAGTTATGAACAAATAAAATAAAAACTACATCTGGCCAAATATTACATTAATCAATATTAAAGAAAATATACAGTATATCAGTAAAAGTATATTAAAACTAGTAACAATAACACCATTTTAAAAAAAGCATTATTTAAATGAAAAACAAAACAAAATAATCTAAGCATGGGTTGATTTTTAATATTAAAACTCATTCGCCTCATTCAAAATCAGTTTCGCAATATTTATTTCATAGTATAACGTCTTTTGGGATGTGCGAAGGAATTGGTAGAGATGATATTTAAATGAGGACAAGGAAGAGGCGTGACGGATATCAGATGGCAAGGCATTCCAGAAGGCAGTGGATCGGACAATAAAGGAATATTCAAATGTCTTGGTTTTATGGGAAGGGATATAAAGGTCGGAAACACGGGATCTTGTTTTCTGGGAGTGGACCACGGGTTTGAACTATAGAAGACTGTAGATGTAGGAAGGGTGTCGGGTGTTGATCGTTTGATATAGGAAAGATCCAAGGAAATATTTTCTGCGAAAAGAAGGGAAGAGCCACTTTAACTCATCGAAAATGGTGGGACACATGAGACCGCCTCGATGTACCGAAGACAAATCTTAAGCAGGTATTCATTATTATAATAGGTATATGTGAAATACCATATACCAGGCCATCTGTCCTTGACCCAATAAGATGTGTGCCTATCAGATGGTTATTAAATATTAAAAAAAAAATCAATCATATCATAAATAGTTGGTCCTACCTTTAATGAAGTCCACCGCCATCTCAAGACCATAGGTATCCTTATCGCAGTCGTCCAGGATGTGCGCGCCGATGGTAAAGGGCAATCTCATGGCGTTGATCTTGTCCAGAGTGTAGAGCATCGTCTCTACGGCCTGTATCCCGCCCTGCGGCATGACGGGGCCGCACGTGCGCGTGTCCTCCCGTTCGTGCACCATCATCAGCCCGCCCAGGACCACGTCGCCTTCCACGATCGCCTCCCGCTTCACCGGCCAGGCAATCCTCTCCTCCCAGGGTGGCAGCATCTCTTCCATCGGCGAGCGGAAGCTGCGCGAACCGTTGTAGCGGAAGTGGTGCCAGTGGTGCCAATGGTGCCGCACGGTGCCCGTAGCCAGCCCGAGCAGCAGCACCGCCACCGCAGCACTAACCATCCTCTCCGGGCCCCATCGCCGGCGTCCTGGAGTAAGGTTCTTGGTCAGAGTATTATGAAATATAATGATGAAATTCACCTCATGTCGTCCAGTCAGTTTCGACTTTACAAGAATTGTTACACATTATTGTCCAGTTTATGAATGGAAAAAAGGTGTATGCAGAGAGCAAAAAGAAGTGGAAGCTTTTAACTTTGGGTATATGTACTAAAATCTCTTACCCCTATGGCCACTGCTACATGGTTCTTTTTTCGTTATTCACTTCTTTTTTCGCATCTCAAAAATGGTGCGTAATGATGACTGATTCTATATTTACTTGAAGCTGATACAATTTCCTTCTGGAACGTATCGACTTGTAATTTAAAAAAAAAAATAGACAAATGCCTTAAGCCTAGTTCATACTAGTAGACATGTTACGCGATTTGGCCTCAGAGACATTTCTCAGTTTGTTTACGTAAACATGTCTATAGACCCATTTACGCTTAGGCCTGTTGCGAGACCAAAATCTCAGGTCTAAATCTTTCCGGACGAAATGGGGGACTTTATGCAACGTTAGACATTTTGCGCAACATTTGGATATTGTGGACGTCACTCGGCGTCTAGGGGAGGAGACACGTTCAGGACTGCTTCCAGCTAACAAGTGGCTGGTTCGCCTGTTTACGCTCATTTTCCAAAGCTTTACAGTTCATTAGAAAGCTTGTGATCTAACGAGAAATTTTTAAAACCAACTGGAGATTACCGTTGCGTCTCCCAGTTTTAATTTATTTAATAACACATTACCGAACGTAGGTCATGCGAGCACTTTGCGCATCCACCAACTTTTACATTTTCGCGTTCTTTCACTTGTAATTAGCACTAAGCAGGAACTCATTTCACAGAAAACTAAATCCTCTGTGGTTGGTTCCGAAAATGATACTGAGAAATTCACGCTTTTTCGACGCTTGACGAGACAAAAAACGTTGTCTTTAGACCAGGTCTTGAGAACACTATAGGTCTGTAGACAAATCGCGCAACAATATCTACTAGTTTATACTAAGTTTAATAACATGAATTTTACAGAAATATAAAGGTAAAAATATCAGGATAACTATAAAAAATATGAAAACATGAATCGAACCATTCTAGGTAAATTTTAAATAGATCATGTTTTTTTTTTTTTAACAACGTACTGTTATATAAGGATGTAAAAAAGTAAAAAAGGTACCTTTATAACCCGATTTATAATTTCCAAAGTAGCTCCGATAAATTTCCAAAGTCAAAAGCATCCTTTCTCTCTTCCACGGTGTTGATTGAACAAACTTGGCCACTGTGAGAACTGTCCATGATGCAAGTAATTGATTACAAGTTTGTTATGACTAAACATAACCAATGATGAAGTTCAGTTTTAAAGCCTTTTAGCACCTTCGTAACCTTCTAGCAACAAAACCTAAAGTAGTGGCTTGTAATGTCACTTTTTTTTTGTTTACTTTTTTAACGACTTCTTTAAAAACTTAATTTTTTAATGAAGTCGTTGGATTACATGACAAAATTGTGTGAGTAGTCGTCTTCTTAATCAGTGAGCAAGAGCAGTTCAATACCACTAAAGTCAAATTACTATTTACGCGATTGTAGCAGAAAGTCAGTCTTACAATAAATTACATTTTATTGCACATAATATCAAATGTAAAATTATTAGGATATATTTGGAAACTGCCCTCATAAACCAAATAATAATAGGAAACAATACTTTATAAATCTCGAAACATCTTCCATCTTTCCTGTAAAAGGTAGTCTGAAATGCAATTTTTGATTAAAAAAAAAATTGAAATCAGTGTCACAACACGTATTTTTTTATATTTAATAAGATAACTTATCGCGGGCGAATCCCACAGTTTTATTAATTGTTCTATCATACATTAAAACTGCTTTGTTTTTTAAATCTAATCATTTGTCATGTCCAAGAGATATATTATTGTAATACTCAATAAATAAATAAAAATAATAATTTGTTATATGAGTGCAGAAAATAGTTTATGTACTTATGAAATATTTTTACTTTTATTTATCTCGAAATGAAATATATTGTAATGGAGAAATCAATTTCAAAGAAAATAACTGTTCTAAAAACTATAAAATTAATTTTAATGAAAATAAAAACTCCAAAATAAACTGATTATAAATAGTCAAGTGTTGCAAAATGGTGCGTGAATGCATATGAATGTCTTGCTAAAAAGCGATAAATTTTATGTAACTAAAATTATGTACTTGAAGTATGTTGCAGCAACTTTTGCTCTAAAATCGCTATTCATGAAGTTAGTTACCACTTAGTGTTGTTAACATTACACTTCTTCACAATATTCTCAAAAGAAATTTTAATGATTTTAATACAACGTCAGTACAGAACTCAATGCTTTTGACTAGCAGCTAGTCTGATGGAACTTATAAATTGAATTTTTCAATATTTCTTTCCCAAAAATAATTTTAATTTTGTATTTCAGAAATAATTAACCATCTCTCATTTTCAGTTGTAATAAACAATGAATAAGAATATAAACTATGATAGAATTTCATAATTTACAAAGAAGAAATATCTAAGTTTTACATCAGTCAAGTATTTTCATTGAAAATATCTGGCCGGTCTTAAAAGCCAATTATTCAGAATTTATTCCTCTTTGATTATTAAAAATAAAGGAGGAAAAATTCTCAACTTTAGTAGAATTAAAACATCAATAATTATGAACCATGAACTTTTTTGACAACTAGCTAAAGCAGAAAATTATAGAAATATTTTCACAAAGTGTATAAGTAACAGTAACTTTAGAAAGTAACAGTGACTTTACAAGGTATAAATAACCAGTTACTCTGAATAGGCTATCGATTAAAACTTTAGAATTTAGAATTTATTAACTTACTTAACGCTATCAATAAACTCTAAATATTACTATGTGTGTGAATTTAATTCATAAGGTAAGTCAAATTTTTAATTGAAAGTATACTAAGCTTACTAGATATTATTTAAATAATATCAAGTACTTGAGCACTAACTACAGAACTGGGTTACTAGGGCTACCGTGATCGCTTATGGCTTCATTTAGCGGCTTAGCGTAGAGGTTAGAGCCATTAACAGCTGATGAGTGCATTGCAGCCCGAACCACTCCAGCTCACGGATATTACGCTATCTCTAATGTTATAGCTGTTATCAGCCAATACTATATACAATAATAACTACTCAATACTTTATCCAATACAGTATTGAACTTATATTTACAAAATGACGTCCTATGATCTCGCCGAACATAATCTTAAATGACTACAATTCTTCTTGCCAAGTCAGTTAAATATTTATTTGTAACAATCCATAATAAAATTAACTCCTATTTAATTAGCACATCGATTCAAAATTAGAAAACTCCTAAAAAAATATATATAAAATATTTCCATATTTCAATAAAAAATCACCGGCCTGATGTTTAGCTTTACTTATAGAACTAACATAAAAAAAAATTCAATTGTTTAAAAAAAACTGCCTTAAAAAGAAAACAAAGCATTCTTTCAATCTCAGGAAAATTACTTAAATCCCTTAATAGCTGAAATAGGAAATTATAAAAAAAACCTCAAAATCAACACCAAATTATAAAAATAAGAGAACGAAAGATATTCTGCTATAAAATAATTTATATTTTATTTTATTGTAAAATCCTAGTAGCAAAAGTTTTGCAATTAGAGTAGGTAAGAGTACGCTGATACCGACTCCACTTGGGATCCATATTTGTTGAGCTATAATTAATAGAACCAGTTGACTCTTCGTAAAATATACGAATATATTGTAATATACTTCATATAAACTGTCAATTTCATAATTTTTCATTTTATTGACAATATTAAGAAATTTGTTTTGAAAAAATTGAAATATTTTACGTTAGTTCTATAAGTAAAGCTCCACATGATATATGCTGAAATTGATCTTATTACATATTTATACAGAAACAATATATTTCTGGGAGAAAGTTTTGATTTTTTATTGAAACATTTTATATTTTTTTTAGAAGTTTTCTAATTTTTAATCAATGCTTTAATGTAATAGGAGTTTTCTAATTTTGAATCAGTGTGTTAATTAAATATGAGTTTATTATCATTTGTTACAACTAAGTATTTAACTGACTTGGCAAGCGGAGTTGTAGATGCATTTAAGATTATGCTCGGCGAGATCATATGACGTCATTTTGTAAACATAATTTTATTAAAAGAAACATTAACCTTAAACTGTCATGTTTATTTGTTAGTTCTTTTTTTTCTCACCAATTTTTTTTTTTGCAATATTTTGTCTTAAGTTTTGTTAGTAGTCGAGTTATATTTTTCTAGCTTTTGTTTCAACTGTTTCACTTCCTCTAAAACATCTAAAGATAATTTAAGACAAGTAACTATAATAGATAATTCACTCATTGTAAAATTTTTAACCTTCTTCAGTAATACCTATTAATAGCAGATAAATTCATCCATTTTAATTAAATTGAATATAAAGAATCCATTTTAATAATTAGTAAACATAATGCATAAACTTTCCTAGTAATTAGATATTGTTTTTCGAATATGCTGCTAGGATTTAGCGATTCAACTGCAAAATGCTGACTTAAAATACCAATCACATCAATGACCACTCCAGACCTAATATACGTTTGAAGATCTGGGAGATATTAAATGATAAATTCTGCAATCTATACAGAAACGCACCAGAAACTGCCCTTTACTTCATTACAGTATACGAAGGAATGCCTTAGATCTGGGTGCAGAACGAATACAAGTACACGAAACAACCTCCATAAAATGATACAACGTTTTGAACTTCATTAGATAAACAAAAAGGTTTGGGACGGAATTGGAGGTACAATAGACAACCATTGTTAGTATTGTCTTTAGGGTTGGCTAAAACTATCCACCCAATTGTTGGATAAACTATCCCAACTAATAATAGTACCAAACCAATTAATAGGTAATAATTTCATCTATTTTAATTAAATAATAAACATAAACAATGTGCAGATATTCGTGG